AGACAAAAATGGAAGATATCATGTAGATATTTAATAGCAAGAGAGAAAATAAAATATTTATTTATTTATTTATTTATTTATTTATTTATTTATTTATTTTGAGGCAGAGTCTCACTCCAGCCCAGGCTGGAGTGCAATGGTGCTGTCTCGGCTCACTGCAACCTCTGCCTTCTGGGTTGAAGCAATTCTCTGACTCAGTCTTTCAAGTAGCTTGGATTACAGGTGCCCACCATCATGCCCAACTAATTTTTGTATTTTTAGTAGATTTGGGGGTTCACCATCTTAGACATGCTGGTCTTGACCTCCTGACCTTGTGATCCACCCACCTCGGCTTCCCAAAGTGCTGAGATTACAGATGTGAGCCACCAAACCTGGCCAAATTTCACAATTTTTAATTGATGAAATTCAAAATGTAGTGATGATAATTTAGTGCAATTTTTTTGTTACTGTTCCCTATCCATCACATAGTAAAATGTGTTTTTAGCTCAGGGGATCTGGTCCAACAGCTGAGGTTTGCCATCCCCTGTTTTAAAAATGCATAATAAAATATTTAAGAATAAGATGATGTGATGACTGGGATTTGCTTCAAAATATTCCAGCATTAGGAAAGTGTGGTGGGAGTATAGGTGAAACAAGAATTGGTTTTACATTCGCTTTTTTTCTTTTGCTACAGGGTCTCACTCTGTTATCTAGGCTGGAGTGCAACAATCATAGCTCACTGTAGTCTCAAACTCTCAGGCTCAAGTGATCCTCCCACCTCAGCCTCCTGAATAGCTGGGACCACGGATGTATGTCACCATGCCTGGCTATTTTTTTTTTTTTTTTGAGATGGAGTCTCACTCTTGTTGCCCAGGCTGGAGTGCAGTAGCACAATATTGGCTCATTGCAACCTCTGCCTCCCAGGTTCAAGCAATTTTCCTGCCTCAGCCTCCTGAGTAGCTGGGATTACAGGCATGCACCACCACGCCCGGCTAATTTTGTGTTTTTAGAAGAGACGGGTTTCTTCATGTTGGTCAGGCTGGTCTTGAACTCTCAGGTGATCTGCCCACCTCGGCTTCCCAAAGTGTTGGGATTACAGGCATGAGCCACCATGCCTGGGCTATCTGGCTACTTTTTTAACCTTTTGTAGAAACCAGGGTCTTTCTATAATTCTCAGGCTGGTTTTGAACGCCTGGGTTCAAGCAATCCTCTTGCCTCGGCCTTTCAAAGTGCCGGGGTTACAGGCGTGAGCCACGGCAAAGAACCTTGCATTAATTATTGAAGTTGGATGGTGGTATCTGAAGACACATTATGTTATTCTGTTTTGCATATATTTGAAATTTTTCATACTAAAAATTATAAAACAATTCTTTGAGTTGAGATGTCCCTCCAGAAATGCATCCCTGGCATCAGAAGTTTAATGCCAGGCTTGAAATACCTCCTCAGGATATCCGGTATGGGGGAACTGTCATAAAGTATGAGGGAGATTGATGAATGCAAGGTGTCTCAGACACCCACACCCCTTGTGGAGAATTGCCTTCCCATAGCACTAAGTGGCCATAATTCATATCACATGACTCCAAGTAGCCACTGATTGGATAAGATTGGTCACCTGACCACAATGCTATCAAACGATTGGCCATTCAGTGACCAATGATGTGGCTGAAGAAGAAAAGGTGAGCTGGACGAATCAGATGCTCTTTCATGAGACTACTATCTGAGAGATCCTAGTGAAGTAGGAGGCGGGATTCAACTCTGGACTAGATTGAGTACCAGGTGAAACGGAAAAGGCACCAAAAGCACCTCTCTGTAAGATGTGCCCACCAGCACCATGATAGTTTACCATTGCCATGGCTATCCAGAATGTACTATCCCTTTTCTAGAAATTTCTGAATAACCTGCCCCTTTTCATGTAATTGAAAGTGGGAATAAATATGACTAGAGAGCTGCCCCTGAGCGGCTACTACTTTGTGTCCTGCTGTGCAAGGAACAGTACCTCTGCTGTTGCGCACTACTGTTTCAAGAAAAGTTCTTGATGCCACTGGGCTGCCCTTGAATTCTTTCCTGGGCAAAGCCAGGAACCCTCCCTGGCTAAGTTCCAATGTCAGGCTCACCTGGCCTGCACCACTGGAAAGTGACTGTTTATATCCTTGTACTAACTGCCCTCTCCACACTCATCTTTCCCCAAAACAAGTTCTGCTAAGCCTTTGCTTTAATGGAAACTTCCCAAAATGCCCTTTGCTTCACACTTCAATTTGAACCACCACTCATTTCCTGCTACCACAGCAGACACCGCCAGATGGCTCTCGGCTGTGGAAAAGAGTTCTATCTGGACTTTTGGGAGCTTTCCAGATTTTTGACCTGAGTGGTGGTTTCATAGTTCTTCATTTGTGAATAATTTGCTGCACTATTTTCTCTGCCTATCTCACAATTTTTCCCTTTTTTCTATTATTATTATTATTGAGGTGGAGTTTTGCTCTTGTTGGCCAGGCTGGAGTGCAATGGCATGATCTCAGCTCACTGCAACCTCCGCCTCCCAGGTTCAGGCGATTCTCCTGCCTCAGCCTCCCGAATAGCTGGGATCACAGGCATGTGCCACCATGCCCAGCTTATTTTGTATTTTTAGTAGAGACAGGGTTTCTTCATGTTGGTCAGGCTGGTCTCTAACTCCTGATTTCAGCTGATCCGCCCTCCTCGGCCTCCCAAAGTGCTGGGATTACAGCCGTGAGCCACCGCGCCCATCCTATTTTTTAAAATAAAAATAGAGGCGAGGTCTTACATGATGCCTAGGCTGATCGCGATTTCCCCCACCTCAGCCTCCCAAAGTGCTGGGATTACAAGCATGAGCCACCACACCTGGCACAATTACTTTTTTCTTTGAGGGGGGAAATTTTACCTCCAAAGCTTGTGAACACTTTGCTCAGGAAAACTAAACAAAAATCCTTTCAAAACTGTCTTTCACATAGCCCACTGAATGTATGAAAACCCTTGTGTGTGTTTTCTCCCCTGGAAATAAAGCTCTTACCCAAGTCCTTGCAGGAAAACGAGGGATCACTTCAGGCAGTGGTGATGGCCAACGTGACCATGAGGTCTTGGTCTCTCCAGATTCCCACCTCTCCTGCCAGCAGGAACAATGCTTGCTCCCCATCCAGCCCTCCCCGCAGGACCAAAACACACACAGGCAAGGAGCCATTTATAGTTGTGAGTTTATTAAGGGAGTTCCTGTGCTTCTAGAATCAGCCCTTGCTGCCTATGGTCTTCTTGATCCAGTCCAGGTAGCGGCAGATGTTGGTATAGACCCCAGGTCTGTTGGGTCTCCCACAGGGGTCTGAGCCCCAGGAGGTGATGCCCTGGAGTGCACCATCACACACCAGGGGGCCCCCAGAATCACCCTAGATGGGGAGAATGAGAACAGGGTTGCACCTGACATGTCCACAAAGTCTCTTTTCCTGCTGTCCCAGCGTTTTACCAGGTTTTTTTTTCTTTCTCTCTTTTGAGATGGAGTTTTGCTCTTGTTGCCCAGGCTGGAGTGCAATGGTGTGATCTCTGTTCACCGCAACCTCTGCCTCGCGGGTTCAAGTGATTCTCCTGCCTCAGCCTCCCAAGTAGCTGGGATTACAGGCATGCACCACCACACCTGGCTAATTTTGTATTTTTAGTAGAGATGGGGTTTCACCATGTTGGTCAGGCTGGTCTTGAACTCCCGACCTCAGGGGATCTGCCTGCCTCGGCCTCCCAAAATTCTGGGATTACAGGTGTAAGCGACCACACTGAGCCATTTTACCAGTTCTTTAGCATGATTGGTCCCCTGTGGCCAATGGGGGTAACATCATTTTCCTATGAGACCAGTCAGGACAAGGCTCAGGGCTTCCGTGTACAGACAGACATGGTATCCAAGGATAATGGTCAAAACACTGATGAAAGAGGGGAAAGAATGAAATCTCGGCCAGGCACAATGGCTCACACCTGGAATCCCAGCACTTTGGGAGGGATCACTCGAAGTCAGGAGTTTGAGACCAGCCTGGCCAACATGGTGAAACCTCATCTACTAAAAATACAAAAATTAGCTGGGTGTGGTGGCGGGTGCCTATAATCCCAGCTGCTTGGGAGGCTGAGGGGGAGAATTGCTTGAGCCTGGGAGGCAAAGGCTACAGTGGGCGGAGATTGTGCCACTGCACTCCAGCCTGGGTGACAGAGCGAGACTATGTCTCAAAAAAAAAAAAAAAAAAAGAGTTCTCAAGGGTCCAATCCAGGGAGAAGACAGTAGGGTTTACGTGGAGAGGACTGAGCTGGTTTTCTCCATTTCTGCCAGTAGTGAAGGCATCATTGATTGCAGTTACCAAACACCATTAGAAAGGATCAACGTTCTTGTGGACACACACACACGCACACAAAAAAAGAGCATATCCCCAAGGGACACACACACACACACACACAAACACACATACACACCATATCCCCAAGGCACACGCACGCACGCATATACACACACACACATAGCATATCCCCAAGGGATAAACACACCATATCCCCAAGGGACACATACACACACACACACACACACACACACACACAGCATATCCCCAAGGGACACATACACACACATACACACTATATCCCCAAGGCACACACACATACAGCATATCCCTACAGGATACACACACCCATATCCCCAAGGTGCACGCGCATGTGCGCACACACACAAACCACATCCCCAAGGGAGAGACACACACACACACACACACACACACAGCATATCCCCAAGGGACACATACACACCATATCCCCAAGGTGCGCACACACACAGCATATCCCCACGGGATACACACACGCACACATCCCCAAGGCGCACACACACACGCACGCAGCATATCTTCAAGGGACACACACACATATACAAACACATACCATATCCCCAAGGTATGCACGCAAGCATATGCACACACACACACACCCCATATCCCCAGGGGACAGTGGCTGAACTCTTTTTTTTTTTTTTTTTTTTTTTTTGAGACAGAGTTTCGCTCGTTACCCAGGCTGGAGTGCAATGGTGTGACCTCGGCTCACCTCAACCTCCGCCTCCTGGGTTCAGGCAATTCTCCTGCCTCAGCCTCCTGAGTAGCTGGGATTACAGGCACACACCACCGTGCCCAGCTAATTTTTTTTGCATTTTTAGTAGAGATGGGGTTTCACCATGTTGACCAGGATGGTCTTGATCTCTTGACCTCGTGATCCACCCGCCTCGGCCTCCCAAAGTGCTGGGATTACAGGTGTGAGCCACCGCGCCCAGCCGGCTGAACTCTTAGTGGAAGAAACCACTGTCTGTATGGAGCAATCCAGAGAGACTGGCTTTCAGGACAGTATCGCTGATGGAAATGACTCCATTCTTGGCCAGTGGGGAAGAAAGCATTGTCTTTAGAGACCAATCATTAGTGAAGGCGGTGGGGCTTCCAGGTAGGGGACAAAGCCAGGGGAGTGCTGGGAACAATGAAGATGCAGTTAGAAGAGAGAGTTATCTCTATGACAACTCCCAAGAGAAAGGGATGGGAGCTCATTGAGGAGGCACTCCAGTCAACAGCACCATTTCCTGATGCCAACTCGGAAGATAGCATTGTCTCCCAAGGAACCAATCACAGGAGAAAGGAACCAGCCTTGGGATTCTAGCCAGTCTCAAAGACAAGTGGCTGACCACCTGGCCAGTGGTAAAGTTGGCACAGATTCCACGATGTAATGCTGGGAGCAAGAGCAGGGAACTCCCCTCACCTCTGGCCTCCACTCTCTCCTTCCTGGACATCCACCCCACCCTCTATAGCCCCCAGCTCTGCATCCCATCCTGCAGGTAAGGGTTTGAAAGAAAACAGCAGCAATTTAATGTTCCTAATTCCTAGGCTGTGTGACTTTCAGAGAGAGTTTGGCCTTCTCTGAACCTGGTTCCCACTCCGTAGGGATGGGGCAACTGCTCCAGGAACTGTCTTTGGGACTACTTCCCTTACCACCTCCCCCATCCAAGCCTTGAGCCTCTAGAGGGCCATGAGGGATGAGCGGGGAGGATTTCAGAAATCACTCACCTGGCACGTGTCAGCCCCATTGTTGTTGCCTGCACAGATCATGGCATCTGTGATCTGCTCTGGGTAGGCATCCTCACACTTCTTCTGGGGAAAGATTTTTACTTCTGCACAGTTGAGAGTGTCAGGAAAATTCTCTGGGGGGAAGAGGTTGTAAGGTTCCCTAAGACAGCAGCCCTTTGCCTCCATTCCTGTCTGGATCTAGGATGTAACGAGGGAGTTTTCCAGCTGCGTGGGGGAGTTTTCTGACACTTTGCACAGAGCACATCACTTCTCACATTAAATGAAGCTGTGTCCTCTGCTATTGGGCTTTCGCCATCTAGAGAGGGGTCCTTGGATCTCACATATTTTTTCTTGCCCTGAGCCATTTTCAAATCAAGGGGCTGGGGACTACTTGGAGGTGCCCCTTGACCATCTCTTTCCAGTCTTCCTGCCCTCAGACAACCAGGTCCTCAATCTGTGCTAAATCCTGCTCTTTCCAACTGTCACCTCCTCCTGGAAGCCTTCCCTGACCACTCTAATTTAAACATACCATTGCTCCATTGCTCCCTAGCCTTTTACCCTCCACAATATTTCCTTACAGCACTTAACTCTACCTATTATTTTATTTTATGTGTATTTGTTTATTGTCTATTTCTCCCATCTAGCTTACAACTCCATAAGGACAAGGACTTTGTATAGTTTGCTCATGACTGTATATCCAGTGCCTGCAACAGCACCTGGGGCATACTAGGTGCTCAAAAAACAAGGGTTGAATTAATGATTGAAGGTGGAATCGATCTTTGTTATTAACCTCTTTTGAGGACTAGACTTCTTCAAAGCGTCTTTGAGGGGGAAACCCTTCCATCTGGCACCTCTACATGCCAAAAGCTATACATTCACAATCTCATTTAATCCTCACAATAGCGCTTTGAAGGAGGGATGCGTTCATTCATTTCATTATTCATTCATCCAGCAAATACTTACTGAGTACCTACTATGTACCAGGCACCATCCTGAGCACTAGGAACACACGATGAAGGAAACCGATGTAACCTGAACCCTCATGGGGCTAAAAAATCTATTAGATTCCCGTTTTGCAGATGAGGAAAGTGAGGCTCAGAGATGAAAAGGAATTTGCCCAAGGTGAAGGGGCAGAGCCATAGTTTGAACTGATCTACCTGATTTGCAAGCAGGTGTGTTTCTACAGCAGCACACTGTCTCATCCAAAGCGTTCAGGGCAGGAGTGAGACAGACAGGGACCTGAATGCTGAACTTTGCCACTTCCTGGAGAAGCCCATTGACTGACTCTGAGCTGAGTCCCAACTTTTTCGCTGTGAAGGAAGATGAGGAGCTGCCTGGATTCTGGAATCCCAAAGGTACCCAGCTTCATTGGAAGTCCAGACTTTGGGGTCCAGAGTCAGGAGGGAGCTAGGATTGCTGGGTCCTGGGAGAAGAAGGGCCTTGACTCCTGGGTCTGAGGAAAGAGGGGACCAGGGCCCAGGTTTCCTGGGCTCCAGAGGGAGAAAAAGGCTGGGCGTGATACTCACACTTGTAATCCCAGGACTTTGGGAGGCTGAGGCGGGCAGATCACTTGAGGTCAGGAGTTCGAGACCAGCCTGGCCAACATAGTGAAACCCTGTCTCTACAAAAATTAGCTGTGATTTTTGTATTTTGCCTGTAATGCCAGCTACTCAGAAGGCTGAGGCATGAGGATCATTTGAACCTGGGAGGCGGAGGTTGCCATGAGCTGAGATTGTGCCACTGCACTCCAGCCTGGGCAACTGAGTGAAACTGTGTCCCTCTACTATTAAAAAAAAAAAAAAAAAAAAAAAAAAAAAAAGGAGGGCGGTGGGGGAGAAAGTGCTTAGGAGCCTGTTTTCCTGGGCCTCTGAGAAGTCCAAATATCCCGAGTGTGTTAAGATTACCTAACATCCTATACAACGAAAGGTCTCATAGGACAGTGCTCTCTGCCATAAAGGAGGGGCTTTTCTCGCCCTGCTTAACAATCTGCTAGTTGGTTCTCTTTCTCTCACCACTCCTGTTAGTAGTCTGGTCTTCAAGGTTTATAATATGACTCCCGCTTGTGAATCTCAACATCACGATCACTTTCCCTTCTTTGTCTCCTTCTAGAGGGACCAAGCTTTGCCAATAGCTTGGGGTCCACTAGGCCAACCAGCTCTTCGTCTCCCTCCCACTAGTGGCCAAGCCCACTACCTTGGGGACTGGTGGTAGTGCCCCAGCCTGAGATGGTACACTTCTGGCCAGGGTGGATGCAGTGGTCTGCCAGGCTGATGGGCTTCACTTTGGAGCCCAGGGATGCCTGGCTGCGCAGTTGAAGCAGCATCAGATCATGGTTGTGGTCGTCCACGTTGCTGCTGTTGTAGCAGGGGTGTGGGATGGACTGAACCACAGCTATTTCTTGCTCCGGCCCATCCTTTTTCTGTAGGCTATGGTCTCCCAGACGCACTGTGTATTTCCTGTAATGGCAGGGACAGTTTGGGACCCAGGCAGGGGTATTGCCCCCAGCCCCCTCCTCCCTTAGACCCAGAAATCCAGTCCTCAGCTCTCTCCTTCTTGAGTGGAAATCCAGCCTCCTCTTTCCTCTTTCCCCAGCCGACCTCTGTCCCCGTCATCCACTCACGGTTTTTTACAGTGGGCAGCCGTGACGACCCAGTTGCGACCTATAAGGACACCGCCACAGAGCAGTTGCTCGCCCTGGAACAAGGCCGCCTGCCAAGGCTGCGAATGGGGTTGGCACTCCTGACCCCCCAGCACCTTGTTCTCCTGTGCCCTGGAGTGTCCTGCAGCAGGAGGGAGGGGGTTGGATTGCCACCCTCTGGGGCAGTGCCAGGGCTGGGAAGGCCACTGTGGAGTCGAATGGACACACGGCAAGTTCTCCGCATACAACTTAGTGAGGGGAGCCCGGGTGTCCACACGCTGCCACGCAGGCACACTCATTTCGGTCCATGTATATCATACAAGAGGCACACACCCAAGCATGCTCCCACATGCTTCCACATGAGTCTACATGCCCGTATACTCCCACATGAATCCATGCCCCCAAGCAAGCAGCCCCCCACCCGCTGTGGGTATTCAGACAATTTGCAGCATAACCGAACCTACTCCTTCCTACCCGCTGCCACCTGTTTCTTGCCTCCATGCACCCTGAGGAAAGCCCACAGAGGCTTCTGCATCGTATCACACCCTTCACATCTGTGCACACGCACCCACATAACCACCGCGGCATTCCCACAGACTCCCCGGCGCCACGGCTGCCTTCAGACCTCTCCCCTCCGGAGGCCTCCGCAACCCTCCTCACCTGCCCAGATTTTCCCCAGCAAGAGCAGGAACATCCACTTCAGGCCTGCACGAGGTGGGGGGCGTCCCATGGTGAGGTCTGGGAAATGGAGAGGGCGGGGCCGGGAGACAGGAAGGAGGAGCCTGAAAGCCCAGTTCTGGATTTTGGGACTGGAGAGAGAGCTGAGCGCATCGGGACTGTTTCGGGCTTCTCCGGAGGAAGCGGAGGCATGGGATTGGATTCCTACTTTCCAAGGGAGGAGGGAGTTCGGGTCCTGGATGTCTGTATCTGAAGGGACAGGGAGCTGGGAGCTGGGACTCCTAAATTTGGGAGAGGAGGAAGCTGGGTCTCGAGAGAGGTCATCTGAATCTGGGGTCCTGGAACCTGGAAAAGGAGGGTCTGGGCCTGATGTCTGTGTCTGAGTACCTCGGCACCTCACCTTCCAGAATCCACGGGGTGGGGTCACCTACTGATTCGGACCCAGTGGAGGAGGCCCCAGTACTTCAGTTCTCCCTGCTTGGTACTCGAGTCTGGAGCCTTTTAACTGGGACGCTCCGCCTCTAGTTCCTCCTCCTCCTGCACTGGAGCCTAGGGAGCTTCTGGGAACTGCAACGCTGGGTGTGAGAAGGGGCGGAGGGGGCTGAACGTGAAATCTTAGGGAGGAAGGGCTGGAATCTCAGACTCCTGAGGCTAAGGAGAGGAGGGAGTCGGTGCTAAGATTCTAAGATGTGAAACGTAAAGGGCTGGGGGCCAAGACTTTAGTTCTGAGAGGGGAGGAGGCTGGGGCCTGGATTCCTGGGTCTGAGGGAGGAGAGGCTGGGGCCTGGACTCCTAAATCTAAGGGAGGAGGAGCTGGGACCTGGGCTTTTAGGTCTGAGGGAGGAGGGGCTGGGGGCCTGGATTCCTAAATCTAAGGGAGGAGGAGCTGGGACCTGGGCTTTTAGGTCTGAGGGAGGAGGGGCTGGGGGCCTGGATTCCTGGGTGTGAAGGAGGAGGGGGCGGGGGCTAAATTCTAAGTACTTGTAAAAGGAGAGGCTTGGAGCCTGATCTTTTGTGGGAGAAGGGGGCTGCAGCCAGTAACCCGAAACGGAAGAAAGGTAGGTCTTCTTGGGTCAGACACCTGAGGGTGGATCGGGCCCCGCCCGCTGCCCCCTGAGAGGTCCCGGATCTGGGAGGGCAGGTTTGGGAGGCACCGTGACCTGGTTTCCCCTTCGCCTGGAGGCGGCAGGACCAACCCAAGCAGAACCCAGGAGGCTTGCTGCAATAGGCCTGATGGAGGGAGACTTTAAGCAGGACTTATTAGGGGGAGGGGGAGTTGCAACGCGGTAGCGGTTCCCTCATCTGCCCTTTACTGCCCACCCGTTGCCCTCCACTCAGCCCACAGCTCGGGCAGAAAGAAGGTGAGGTTTCATGTTTACTGTAAAATCATCCATTAGCTCTAAAGGTATCGAGACCCTCCCTCAATTTCCCCTCAAGTCCCCGCCAGGATTCAAACCTAGGACACTTGCGTCTGGGCCACGAGGGGCGGAGCCCGAGCTCCACGTGGGCGCAGGAACTGCGCCCCTGACCTCATGGGGCGGGGCGGGATCTCTGGTGCAGGAGGCGGGGACACAAGGGGTGGAGTCCCGAGAGGAAGTCCCATTGGACAAAGTTCTGAGGGGCGGAGCTATTTTGTGTACGTGATTCCTTGGGGCGGAGCCACAGGCTGTGCTGTTCCAAGAGAGCAGTGACAGTTGTCCGTGGTAGAACCGGGCTCTGAAGGGCGTGTCCCTGCTCCGTTCTGAGGGGGGCGCGACTGTGTCTTGGGTTGACCTTGTGAGGAAGCGGAGCCTCAGGGGCGGGGTCTCAGGGCAGCTGGAGATCAAGGGTGGGCACCATTGAGGCTGGAACCCTTCGGGAACCGCCTACCCCGTGCCCTGCGGCCTCTCTTGGGTTTCCAAGGTGCCCCCGAGGCGCGAGGGGTCAGTTCTCCATGGTTGCTTGGATCCAGTCTAAGTAGTGGCATACGCTGGTGTAGACTGCGGGGTGCCGGGGTCTGGAGCAGGGCTCACCACCCCCGGATACCACACCTGCCAAGGTTCCGTTGCAAACCAGGGGGCCCCCAGAGTCACCCTGTATGCGAAAGAAGGGCAGAGGAACTGTTAGGCCCCTCTCTTCGTCACAATAACACGGGCCACTTTCTCCTTCCCAAAAAGGCCCCAGCCCCTTCCTCCTCCAACACCCGAGAGCCCCCCATCTCCAGCCTCTCTTCCCTCTGACCCAGGAGTAAAAGCTCAGAGCCCCCACTTCCCCGCAGGACATAACTTCCTCCTCCCCCAGGTCTCAGACTCCAGACACCCAGCCCATTCTTCCTGTAGATCCAGAAGTCTGGACCTCCAGACCTCTCATCTTTTACACTCAGGAGTCCAGGCCCTGGTCCTCTCCTCTCCCAGGAACCAGGTGTCCCAGGCTCCTCATTTTGACCCAGGAAGGCTGGGGGCCTATCCCTCTCCTTCCCTAAGACCTAGGAAACTTAGCAGGACAGCCTCATTTTCCCCAGAGTAAGGTCTCACCTGGCAGGAACCTCTGCCCCCCTCCCACAGGCCCGCACAGAGCATGCTGTCCGAGATGTGGCCCGGGTATGCCCAGTGACAGAGTTTGTTCTCCAGGATGCTGATGTTGGCACACTGCAGTGTGACTGGAAACAGCGCTGTGGGGAAGGAGACTGTCAAGGATCTGAAACTGTCTCTCAGCACCCCACCGTCCTGAGTCCTCCCTGCAGCTTTTCCAAAGGACCCATGGAGCCACATTTAAGACCCTCAAACATAGAGACAAGAGACAGTGACAGACAGTCATAACATGCAGGAGAAACAAATGAAGACAAGGAGGAAGGAAGGGGGACAAGAAGAGAGAGAGGCTGGCTGGATATGGTGGCTCATGCCTCTAATCCCAGCACTTTGGGAGGCTGAGGCCGGCAGATCACTTGAGGTCAGGAGTTCAAAACCAGGCCAGTCAGCATAGTGAAACCCCATCTTTAGGAAAAATATAAAAATTAGCCGGGTATGATGGCAGGAGCCTGTAATCCCAGCTACACAGGAGGCTGAGTTACAAGAATTGCCTGAACCCAGGAGGTGGAGGTTGCAGTGAGCTGAGACTGTATCACTGTACTCCAGCCTGGGGGACAGAGGGAGACTCCATCTCAAAAACATAATAATAATAATAATAAAATAAGAAGAGAGGAAGAGTGTTAGATATAAAAAGAGTTCCTCTTCCAAGGATTAACTTGCTCAGTGTCCTTGCTCTTTGTTCCCTGTTTTCAAGGCCAGATTTCCTTACTCTCTGTATTTCCTGCCCTGGTAAACAAACTCCCCACCGGTCCTTATCTATAGAGACCACATTCCACATATGCTACGCACTCTATAGATTACCCCTCCTGTCACAACGGCTCCTTCCCCCAAAACTGCACTCTCCACGGGTATAACCACATTCCTGCACTTTTCAAGTTAGCCAGCCAGGTTCAGCTTAGATTGTGTGGTCCAACTCCAGCCAATGGAGATAGGACACAGCAGCAGGGAAGAGCTGCATTAGAAATAAAAACTCCTTCCCTTCTTTGTCCAGTGTGCTCTCGCCATTGCTCCATCGGGAGCAGCACCCTTTCTGCAGAAAGTAAGTTTGCCTTGCTGAGAGATCCTTTGTCTCAGTGCTTATTCTTCTTTGTGGCACTGAGCATTTGTTCCCAGCAAAGAGAAACAGAAAGATGCATGCAGAGATCCAAGAGACAAGAGGAGATGCATCTATAATTCACACAGAGAAATAGGAGAAATAGAGGCCATGAAGGGAGATGGAGACCTCTAAAGGGGAAAGCGATTCTCTGAAGAGGCAATAAAGACATAGAGACAGACCCAGAGATCTCAAGGGGTGGAAGGAAGGCAGTGAGATAAAGGGGAAGAGATTTACAGGAAGATGATCACTGGTGGAGACAGAGACATAGAGATGCCAGATACAGCATGGATAGTAGATGTGTCAGTGTAGCTGTGGAGATGGATATATATATAATACATATGTGCCTCTATATAAGACATGGATGCAGACTCAGACACATCAAGGGCCATGATAAACAACTGATAAACAAATCGGGGACAGTGGCTGTGCAGGGAGACAGGAGCCATTACGGCCCATTGGAGTGGACCAGAGAACTTATCTTGGTTGAAGGGAGCAGCTTCCATTGACCCAGCCCAGTGCTTGCTATTTTGGGAATGTGAGTTCTTCAAACTTTTTCAAATGAATCCAGAAACCTGGCTTTTGTATAAAACCTTCCAGGTTTTAGATATTGGCAGCAACAAATTCATACTTTTTCAATACACTGACCCAATGGGTCAGTGATCCGTGACTCTGAGAGACGTGGCCTTATTTCCATTCTAAGATGAACGTATTTTCACATTTAAACATCTCTGGGCCAGGTACAGGGGATCACACCTGTAATTCCAGCACTTTGGGAGGCCAGGAGTTGGAGAACAGCCTGGACAACATAGCAAGACCTCATCTCTGCTAAAAATTAAAAAATAAATTAGCTGGTGTTGGGTGTGGTGGCACATGCCTGTAGTCTCAGCTACTTGGGAGGTTGACGTGAGAGGATGGCTTGAGACCAGGTGTTTAAAGCTGCAGTGAGCCATGATCACACTGTTGTGCTTCAGCCTGGGCAATAAAGCAAGACCCTGTCTCAGAAACAAACAAACAAAAACTCTGAAATTAGAATGTGTCTTCCAGAAAAATGATGTTATATCATCAATGAGATCTTTCTTCTTATTATTAGCATAAAATAATGGTACATCTGAAAAATTCAAGCATCTTAGATTTGATGAAATATATCAATTGGCAGATAGACTTACAGAGAGAGGAGAGAGAAAGGCAGAAGACAGAGATGAAAAGGCAGAGACAGAGGGGTGAGGGAGCCAGATGCTGGCATGAGGTTTCAGAGAGAGTTCTGGGCCAGGTCATACCCTTGGGGCTGGTCACGGCCCCCCAGCCTGAGATGAGACACTGCGTGCCTGGGGAGACACAGGTCTGGCTGAGGTTGAGGGGCTGCACAGCAGGACTCAGACGTGCCTGCCTGGGCAGACGGATCAGCATGATGTCATCATTGTGGTCATTGGCACTGAGGTCCTTGTTGAAGCCAGGGTGGGGGAAGAAGTCCGTGACGCGGAACAGCTGCTCTGGACCCTCCCATTTCCAGAGGTGGTGCTCTCCAAGGCGGACCCACAGATACCTGCTGGACAGGCCTCAGAGGTCAAGCCGGGGGAAGGGAAGGGTCCTTTCAGCCCAGCCCTCTTTTCCTGTCCATCAGCGTGCTGTGTGACCCTTTGCAAACCACACACCCTCTCTGGGACCCCATCATCTATGTCTGGCCCATGGTGCTGTGATTTTAAGCAAGGCACACACCTCCTCTGGGTCCCTTCTCCCCACTCTGATGTTTTGTGTGCCTCCGTTTTTGTAGCTCTCCCCACAAAGCACCCCCTCCTAATTCCTGGCTCAGTGAGCCACCTTCCTCCCTACTCCCCTGGAGCCTTGGAGGTGACTTGGGTCCCAGGAACGGTGTAGGCACTGGGGGGGCCCCACCTACCACACAACAGCCCCACCCCTGCTCCCACAGGTCTGGTGGCTTCTGTGGGAGTGGCTCTGTATGTCTGAGTGGTGTGTGTGTGTATGTGTGCATGGGTATGAAAGGGGATGGGATATGGAAAATCCCCAAATTGGGGGTCATTTGTGGCCTCAGCTTTTCCTGACTATCATATCCTTCACCCTTCAATGCATGTCTTTCTGATGTCTAGCCTTAAGCCCTCACCACAGTGCTAGCCCACTTGTTCCACTTCTGGTCCATGCCCTAGACAGCTGGGATCCTTTCAGGGTCAACAAAAGTTCATTCCCAGCCTCTGACCTCTGACATTAGGCAGCAGGCTAATGACTGCGAATTCAGGGTTGGGGAACCAGAGACATCTGTCTCTGTCTCTCTCTGTTATTCTTGCTGTCTTGGCTCTGGATCTGGATAGTTCTCACCCCACCATCCCCTCATCCCCCACATCCCTTCATCCCCCTACCCTTCCTCTGCCTTTTTTCCACCTTCATATCTCTGCATTTCTCCTGCTTGACTTTCAGCTAAAATCTAAACATTGCTCTCCCAGACTGATGTACAGGCCTAAGTTAAAAGAGGTCCCATCACAAAGCAATGCATGATGGGAAATTCCCACACAGCATCTCTTACCAGCATCAGTGCTTTATTCCTGGAGGAAAGAAAATTGGAACAGTATGGATAGTCACCTTTCAGAGGCAATGGAGAGAGGATTCCTGCATCAGGTAGATTCCAGGATACTATTAGATTGCCCGGAATCTAAGATTCTAGAATTCTGAGATTCTGACACTCTATTATCCATGATTCTAGAAACCAGAGGTTCAAGTTTTAGAGTTTTTATGAACCCAAGATTCTAACATTCCAGATTCCCCTGGATCAAAAAACTCCAGGATTTTAACATTATCTGAATTAAATCTAAGGCTTGAGCCTAGAATTTTAATATTCTGGGACAAAAAGACTAGAATTTCATCATTCTAGAAATCTGTAAACCTGTAACTTTAGAAATTTAAGAGTCTGGGATTCAAACACTTTAAGACTCCAGAATTCTTTAAATCTCACTATTCTAGGATACTGTGAATTAAAGATTCTGGGACTGTGAGTTTCCATTTTCAATGAACCTAGAAAGCTCTGAATCTAAGATTCTAGGATCACACTAGCCAATATGGCTATTGAACACTTGAAATGTGGCTTATATGTGTAAAATACAGGACAGACTTCAAAGGTTAGTACCGAAAGTAAACTGTATCATTCATACTTATTTACAAATGGATTACATGTTGAAATAATTTTTTGAGTATGTCAAGTTAAATCTATTACAATTAATTGTACTCATTTCTTATTTTTCAAATGTGTCCACCAGAAATTTAAATTTAACGCACGTGGCTGGCGTCATAATTGCTCTGGGCAGTGCTGATCCAGACTGCTAAGATTCTACTAGTCTCCAAATCTATGATTCTATAATTTGCTGAGGCTATTGTAGAATTTCATAAATTCAAGATTTTAGGATTCTGTGATTCTGGATTTCTCTGGGTCAGTCTAGGATTTGAAGAACCTAAGTTTTGAATCTTAGATTCCTCAAATGAGATATTGTCAGACTCTAGAATTTTAGGATTTGGGAAGCAACCCTTCATAATTCTAAGAGTTGAACTTTTGGTATCAGACGTGGAGGCTCCGCACTTGCTGCCCACAGCACCCCTCACCCTTTCCTGACCCCCAGCCCCCACCCCTCCTCAGCATGGCCAGCCCGGGTCACTCACGGCTTGTGGCAGTGGGCAGCTGTAAGCAGCCAGCGGTCACTGATGAGGGTGGCCCCACAGAAGAGCCGGGTGAGGTGGAAGAGGCCGGCCTGCCAAGGCTGGGAGTTGGGGCGACATTCCTCGGCCCCGATGGCCCGGGTGTCTGCCCGGCCATGCCCTGGGGGTGGGGACGAGGGACAAAGGGGTCAGTGAAGAGCAGGCTGGGAGAGCAGGGAGAGGATGCTGAGAAGCCTAGACGGCAGGAGGCAGAAGCCTGGGGAGGGAGGGAAGAACAAGATGACCGTAGTACAGCCATGGAGGGGAAGCCAGCCCAGGAGCCTCACCTGCCAGCAGAGACAGCAGAGCACAGAGGAGTCCCAGCTTCATGACCCCTGGGCACCTGGATCCTGGAGCGTGCACCTGGCACCCAGTGCTTCTTTATGGTAAGCCATGACATCTCCTTCCTCCTCCATGGGGCGGCCCCTGTGATTAATCGGGGTTAAGAAATGTCCCTGGGGGAGGGGAAAGCCCTGGGGCTGTGACAGGGGCCTTGGGAGAGGAGCTAAGTGCAGGGGGACCCCCCCTTTTGGGAGGAGCTGACGGCTTGCTGGGCCAGAGCTTGACTGAATGAAGGAGGAGGGCTGGGTGTGTGGAGAGGTTGTGGGCACCTCCTCTAGGGTCTTCAGAGTAGGAATCCCCATTCCTCATTGCCGTGGGCTACAAGATACAGAATCATTTGTGTCCTGGAAAACAGGGAAGATCCTTGAGGCCTAAGGTCCTGGGGTGGAGCAGGTTGGTTTTGGGAAAAGCAGTGGTGTGGTGTGCAGAGACCAACCTCCCAGGGCAGGCTGGAGGGATGTGTGGCAGGACCCCCCAGAAAGCAGGCTAGGGGTGGGAGACAGAGTCAGGACTCAGGCACAAGAGCAAAAATACAAAGAGAGGTAGAGAGACAGAAGGACCCCAGGTAAGAGGAGGAGCTGGAGGAGGAGAGAGAGAGAGAACAAGAAAAAGACTGAGGGAAGCCCAAGTGGAGAGAGGCAGAGATTGCAGGCAGCTGCATAGGTCTACACACCTCACAGAACCTTTCCTGCCCTGAAGATTTGGGCCTCTTCCCACAAGGACAAGGCCTTCTCCTAGAATGTTGAGGAATCTGGTTCCATCTGGATTAACCCACTCTTGTCATAACCTGCCCTCTTCCCCACAGCTCCACCACCCAAAGACCCAAGTGCCCAACCCGCCAGGGAGCAAGTGTCTATGCTCTCTCTTAATACATCCTGATCTTTGCCAAATCCTGAGAACATTTGCTATATATTTTTTTCATCCATCTTCCTGTCCCCACACCCATTTTCCTTTCCATCACCCCATCCTCCCTGCCCCTCTCCTCATCATTCCCGCTCAGCAGGTGAACAGCCTCTGGAGGGCTGGGCCCACGTCTGACTCATCTCTGTCCCAGCATCACCCAGTTACAGGCAGAACTGGGCTTGCAGAAGTGTTCAGGAGATGTTCATTGAGTGAGTGAATGTCTTTCTCCATATCCTTTTCCTGGTGAACTCCTAGTCATCCCTCAACACCCAACCTCAATGCTCCCTCCTCCAGGAGATCTCTGATACCTTCAGGCAGAGTCCATCTTTGCCTCCCCCGGGCATGCATAATCCCTTCTTCCACTTTCTCCTGCCCACAGGCCTGGTTATGAAGCTGGGTCTGGGCTCCCCTTGAATGTTCTTTCCCTATGGTCTCATGGTTTGGAGCATGGACTCTGGAACTGAACCTTCTGTGTGCAAATCTCAATGATTAGGTGTGATTAGCCATGAGGTGTGTGACTTTGGGCAAGTCACCAGACCTCTCTGTTACTCCATCTTTTTTTTTTTTTTTCCAAGATGGAATCTTGCTCTGTCACCCAGGCTGGAGTGCAGTGGTGCAATCTCGGCTCACTGCAACCTCCGCTTCCTGGGTTCAAGCAATTATACTGCCTCAGCCTCCCAAGTAGCTGGGATTACAGGCATGCACCACCATGCCCAGCTCCTTTCTGTATTTTTAGTAGAGATGGGGTTTCACCATGTTAGCCAGGCTGGTCTTGGATTCCTGACCTCAGGAGATCAGCTCTCCTCAGCCTCCCAAAGTGCTGGGATACAGGCATGAGCCACCGTGCCGGACCTGTTCCATCTGTTAAGTTGCAATAACAATCAGGGTTGTGGGGGAATTATGCAAATTTACACACATGAAGCACAACGGCGTCTGGCACATGGTAAGCATTCGATGTCTACCCATTGCCTGCAGAAACCTGCAGGGCCTTTATCATCGCAAATATCACCTGCCTGCAGTTGTCTCACTCCCTTTCCAGACAGGGGAGCCTTTGAGACCAGGGTCTGGGTATCCAGCATGTGCTAAGTGCCACGCTAACTGCCTTTCAAAGCATTTTAAGCTAGGCATGGTGGCTCACACCTGTAACACCAGCACTTTGGGGGGCCAAGGTGGGTAGATCACTTGAGGTCAGGAGTTCAAGACCAGCCTGGCCAACATGGTGAAACGCTGTCTCTACTAAAAATATAAAATATTAGCTGGGCGTGGTGGCAGGCACCTATAATCCCAGCTGCTCCAGAGGCTGAGGCAGGAAAATTGCTTGAACCCACAAGGCAGAGGTTGCAGTGAGCCTAGATAGTGCCACTGCACTCCAGCCTAGCCTAGGGTGAGACTGTCTCAAATTTAAAAAAAGGAGCATTTTAATAGCTACCTTTATCGACTATGTTCTCAGTGCCTGGTGTTTACTTTGCATGTATATTATCTCATTTAATTATCTTTTTTTTTTTTTGGTTTTTGGACACAGTCTCTGTTGCCAAGGCTGGAGTACAGTGGCATGATCATAGCTCACTGCAGCCTCAACCTCCTGGACTCAAGTGATCCTCCTGCCTCAGCCTCCTGAATACCTGGGAATATAAGGTGTGCACCACCATGCTGGGGAATTTTTTTTTTCTTTTTTAGTAGAGACCAGGTCTCACTGTGTTGCCCATAGGCTGATCTTAAACCCTTGAGTTTAAGCAATGCACCTGCCCCCTCCTCTCAAAGTGCTGGGATTACAGGTGTGAGCCACTGCACTTGGCCTATCTCATTTAATTTTCACAGGAGTCTAATGAAGCAGGTGTCTCCATTTCACAGAGTGGAAACTGGGGAAGAGAGAGCATTCAAGTAATCTGTTCAAAACCATACAGCAAAGGGATTGAAAAGCATTTCCTTCTCTACTTGGTGAACTCCTACTTATCCTTTAAACCCCTGCACAAATGCCCCCTCATGGGAGAAGCCTCCCCTGAGTCCTTCGGGAAGAGCCTGTGGACCTGGCATGGTGCACCCCGTACCTTCTTCTGGTACAACACTGATCTATTTGTGTTATGTGTTGGTGCAGCAACGGGAGTGGCTTCTGTGTGCCAGACACTAATAGAGGTGTAAACAGAGCATTGGGACTGGGTGACCAAAAATGGACCCCTTTAGCCTGAGCAATTCAGGAAGGCCTCCTGGAGGAGGTGACTTTTGAGTGGAGACCTGAATGACAGGAAGGTAGGGCTGGCCAGTCTCCCCAACCTAACTAGCAGCTCCTTGAGGGTAGTGCCTGGTCTGATTCATCTTTGAGGCCTGGCATAAGACATGGCTGGATAAACATTGTAGAGTGACTAAAGAGATGGATGAGTTGCCTTTAAAAATGAATTGAGTTTTCAGGTTTCCACTGACCTCACTTCTGATCCTTGGATGACAAACACAGCTGATATGCCTGACTGACATTTCCTGGGTGTGCTAATGGGGGCAGAAGGGGAAAGAGGCCACAGAAGGGAACTGTGTACACCAACCTCCTGGAAGCTTTGCAGGGGCAGGGACCTGGTGGTCACCCCTACATATGTCTCCAGCACCCAGCGCTGGGCCTGGCCTGTAGTAAATGCTCCATAAATTGATGACTGAAAGGACAAGCCAGAAACAACAGTGCTTAGCGGGAAATTTGTGTCGTGCCTATATTTAGCTAGCTTATGTTACTGCTGCACAGTTCAGGATAAGCTAAGACACTCAAAGGTTTGTTTTTGATATGGAGTTTTGCTCTTTCGTCCAGGCTGGAGTCCAGCGGCATGATCTCAGGTCACTGCAACCTCTGCCTCCTGGGTTCAGTGGATTCTGGATTCTCCTACTTCAGCCTCCCGAGTAGCTGGGATTATAAGCGACCACCAGCATGCCCTGCTAATTTTTGTATTTTTAGTAGACACAGAGTTTTGCTCTTTTGGCCAGGCTGGTCTCAAACTCCTGATCTCAGGTGATCTGCCTGCCTCGGCCTCCCAAAGTGCTCAGATTATAGGCATGAGCACTGCACCTGGCCAACACTCAAACTTCCATTAGCTTTACCTGGATTCTGTGAATAAACTCCCCTCCCCTCCCCCAGTTTCAGGGAGAGACAATTCCTCCCTGCAAGTTTTCAGGACAAAAATCTCACAGCCAATTAATAGCAGACAAACCAAAGGTTTTCCCCTAAATGTCAGAGGGAGGTTTCTTGGCACAAACTTAGCCATTGAGGTGGCAAGAGTTCCCCAATCTTCACCACCCCTCGGCCCTCTGGCCTTAGAGGCTGGGATGGAAGCAAGGTAAGGTCCCTTGAGTTCCAGCGGCCCCACAAAGGTAGAGAAGGTACCGTATGACTCAGAGCCAGCCAAGACAGGAGGAACTGGAGTTGGGTGGAACCAGAAGTGGGAAACGGTGTGAGATAAGAAGGAAGTGGTTAAAAGGGGGTTCCTGGCACTTGGGACTAGGGTAGGAAAAATTATTCTTCCATCAGCCCTAAAGGATGGGGTTGGAGGGTTGGGTTTGGGGGCTACCCCTGTGCAGTTATTCCCTGGACAAGGAGTCAAACACGCTCTCACGGGGATGTGGTCAGATCATGACAACAGGTAACCTTTAGTCAGAGCTCACCACCCACTGTGTTAAGCCTCACATGATAATCACTGTGAAGATTTACATACACGTGTTATATCAGAGTCTCCTCACAACATGTCTAAGAGGTAGGCACATCATTGTTCCCATTTTGCAGATGAGGAACCGAGGCTCAGAGAGGGCACTTGACTTGCCCAAGGTCACACAGCAGGGAAAGGCAGAGGAAGGCAGGTTGGGTGACCCCAATAACTGCTCTCAGAGACTGGGCCATGACCAGCTTCCTTGCTTCTCTGGAATGAACCTTTGCCACCTTTTTCTGCACTTCAGCTTCAGTGCAGGCAGTGAACAGGGGTGGGCGGGGGGAATCAAGCGAGAGGAGAGATGTTAAGAGGTATGGACAGCGGCAGAGGTTTGAGCAGTGCAGGCAGGGGTGAGTTCAGCCGACTGGGGAGGAAGAGGATGGACGATGGAGTTTGGGCATCTGGATCAGTTGGAGCGTATGACTTTATTGATCCAAGGCGTGTATTTGCAGATCTGGGTGTAGACAGCTGGATGCTGGGCAGAGCCGCAGGGGTAAACACCCCAAGAGAGGATGCCTTGGAGGGTCTCGTCACAGACCAGGGGGCCTCCCGAGTCACTCTGGGTATGGCAGAAAGGAGAGATCAAATAAATACGCCACCGTGAGGGCTGCCACTTTGGGATCTGGGGCAGTGGTGGGGAAGGAAGGGGCTGGTTGGGATAAAGTTGAGGGTGGGGCGGGGTTGGAATTAGGTGTGTATGATGCTGGCAGGAGGAACAGAGGGGGACTTCGGGTTATGGAGGCTGGGCTGGGGTGGGAATGGAGATTCGGTGAGACTGGTTGGGATTGTAGCTCACGGAAGGTGAGGAGATGGAGATGGGCTTGGAGATGGGAATGGGGTGGGGTTAGGAATGGCTAGAGGATGGAAACGGGATTGAGGATCTGGATGAAGAGGGGGGTAGGACTGGAGAAGAGTTGGGGCCAAGGATGGGTGTGGGAATGGAGTTGGGGAGCGGGGACAGGGTCTGCTGTTTTCCCATAACCTCCCCGTGTCCTCCCTCCCAAGAGTCAGAGCCGCTCCCTGTTCAGACCCTACCTGGCAAGGGTCCTGGCCCTGGTCCAGTCCTGCACATATCATGTTATTGGTGACCACACCAGGGTAGAAGACCTCACACTCTCTAGGGCTCAGGATAGTGACTCTGGAGCAGCTCAAGCCCTTGTTGTACTTCACTAAAGGGAGAATACACCAGTCATCCCTGGGTCCAGCCCCCAATCCGTGGGGAGCCAGGAGTCCAGATACAAGACTGTTTCTATCCCAGCCCCCAGCCCCTCCTCTTTCAGACTCAAAATCCAGGCCCCAGCACTTCCCCACTTAGGTCCAGGAGTCCAGGCCCCCAGCCCCTCCTCCCTTGGACTCACAGACCCAGGCATCCAGGCCCTCAGCCCCTCCTCTGTGAGACCCAGGAGTCCAGGCCCTACCCCATCCTTCCTCAGACCCAGGAGTCCAGGCCCCACCCCGTCCTTCCTCAGACCCAGGAGTTCAGGCCCCTAGCCCCCTCCTCCTGAGATTCTGGCCTCAGGGCCCTGACTCTTGCCTCTCCGGGTGGCCGTGGTGGCCCAACCAGCGACCTGGCACTGGTCTCCTGGCTGGGCACAGCCGTAGGGAAGCTGCAGGGCCCGGACTCGGGGTCCTGGTACTACGGGCCTGGCCAGCTTCAGCAACATGAGGTCGTGCTCATCCGATCGCCTTGGCAGGATGGGGCCCGAGTCCTGGCGGTACTTGGGATGGACGACAGAGCGAGTGGTCCGGCGGAGCTGCTCGCCCTGAAGAAGCAGCAGGTGGTCATCCCCAACTCGAGCCCACAGTGGCCTGGTGGAAGGAAGAACAATGTGAAGGCAAACGCTTCATAGGGACTGGGAAGGCAGGCGTGGGCAGTGGGGTGAGGGCTGGAGTAGGACCCAGAGATGGGAGGGGTATGAGGGAAGAGGGGCTTGGGGGAGAAGGGGACTCAGACTTGGGCTCCTGGACATGGGCAGGAGGAATCACTGTTTTGAGCTCCGAGGATCTGCAGGATTTTGAGAAGGGTTGGGGGCCTGGACTCCTAGGTAAGTCTACTCCACATTTTTCCTTTTCTTTTCCTTTCCTTTCTGTTTTCTTTTTTCAGACAGAATTTCACTCCTCACACAGGCTGGAGTGCAACGACGCAATCTCGGCTCATTGCAACCTCTGCCTTCCTGGTTCAAGTGATTCTCCTGCCTCAGCGTCTCAAAGTAGCTGGGATTACAGGCACCTGCCACCACACCCAGCTAAGTTTTTGTATTTTTAATTGAGACGGGGTTTCGCCATGTTAGCTAGGCTGGTCTTGAACTCCTGACGTCAGGTGATCCACCTGCCTCGGCCTCACAAAGTGCTGGGATTACAGGAGTGAGCCACTGCGCCCAGCCCGCCACATTTTCTCTGTGATAATACCCAACTCTTCCTCCTTCACTGGGGACTCACGAAGTGAACCTTTTCCTTTAGTTCTAAATTCCTGACCGCACCGGACCCTGACTTCTATCGTTGGATGTCACCACCTGCTCCTAGAGCTCAAGGAGGGTCAGCGGGACAGGAGTGACCAGCCCAGAAATGCCGAGAAGGACCACACCGCCCCCTGGCGGCCACAGGGCAAAGCCCGTGTCCTCTTCTGCAGGAAGGACACAAGGGACCGCGCCTCCAGCCGTGGGAGTTCCGAGCGCCCCGGCCCTGCCCGCTCCTCCCCGGAGGCCGCCTCCACAGCCCCCCGTGGCGTCCTCAGGGATGTCCTCCTACTTGTTCCCGCAGTGCGCGGCCGTGAGCACCCAACTCTGGTCCACCAGGACGCCCGCGCAGTGGAACGAGAGGCCGTTGAAGAGCGAGACCTGCCACGGCTGCGAGCCGCGAGCGCATGGGGTGCCGTAGGCTTCGGGGTCCAAGCGCGTGTCGTTTTGGGGGAGCAGCACCGCCTCCGCGGCTGGAGAAAGAAGATGAAATCAGAGCATGGAGGGCAGGGGCTGGAGCTGGGGTCGGAGCGGGGCTGTGGGACTGGGCTGTGTTGTGGACGAGGCGCGCAGCCCGAACGGGAGGGTGGTAGGAACAGTTGGGGGGTTCGCGTGCATCAACGGGAACGGGAGGAGAAGCAGCGCGTGAAGGTGGAAGGAAGCTGGGAAAGGGTGGCGTGGAGTAGTGAGACAGAATAGGTTGGGTCTGGAGGGCAGGGGCTGAACGCAGCGCGCCAGGAGAGCTGGCTAGAACGCAGCCCGTCCGCAGAGGGGCGGGGATGGAACGCAGAGGGGAGGTTAGGGAGCGGGGATAGAACTCGGGGTGCTGGGAGGAGAAGGGGCGGGAATAACAAAACGGGATTGAACATCGGGGATAAAGGTGGGGCACAGTGCTTTACCCCTGTAATCTCAGTACTTTGAGAAGCCGCGGCGGTTGGACTGCTGTAGCCCGGGAGGTCAGGACCAGCCTGGGCAAAATAGCAAACCCAGTGTTCTACAAACACACACACATACACAAGCCGGTTGCGAAGGCGTGCGCCGGTAGTCACAGCTACCTGATAGGCTGAGGTGGGAGGATCAATTGAGCCCAGGAAGTGGAAGTTGCAGTGAGCTGAGATTGGGCCACTGCACTCCAGCCTGGGTGACAGAGTAGACCCTGTCTCAAAAAAAAAAAAAAAAAAAAAAAAAAAAAAAAAAGCCGGGGGTGGTGGTGCCTGCCTGTGTCCCAGCTACTCCGGAGGCTGAGGATAGCTTGAGCCCAGGAGGTCGAGGCTGCGGTGAGCTCTGATTGGGCCACTCTACTCCAGCCTTGGCGAAAGACCACGACCCCCTCTCAAAAAAAGAAAAAAGAAAGAAAAATAGAAAAGAAGGGAAGAAGGAAGGAAAGAAGAAAGAAAGAGAGAAAGCGAGGGAGAGGGCACAAAGCGGAAAGGCAAGACAGGATGAAATAGGGTGGTGTAAAAAGGCGGGGCCGGGATGGGGCTGCGGAGGAGGAGAAAGAACGGCGAGGAGTCCACGGAAAAAGCGAGGATCCGGGTGGCAGAAATCGGACGGGGCCTGAGTGGGGCAGGACACCCAGGGGCCGAGCCAGAAGAAGGGCCCAGCTGACTTGGGGGCGGGCCCTGCCCGGAGCGCTGAGTGGGTGCTGGGGTCCCGGGGCAGGAGAGGTGCGCGGGGCTTGGTGACCGGAGCACACTCTCCTCCCGCCGGCGCCTCTCGCCGCCCCTGGTCCCTGCCTCACCCCAGAATTGCGTCACCAGCAGCGGCAGCAGCTTCGCCAGTGTCCTGGCGCCAGAGGCGGCGGAGAGGTGGAGGAGCGGGGGTCTCATGGCCAAGATCTGCTGGGGTGTATGTGTTGGGGGGTTAGGTTAAAACAGATACTCCGTTAGAGACCCCCCACCTCACTGTGCCCATGCGCCCAGCCTGAGCCACCCCAGCCCGCAGCACCCTTTTGACTTGCAGGGGCGGGCAGACGGGAGATTCTCAGAATGGAACGGCCGTAATTAGCGCAATTTCCCTAATGATGCCCCTCGCTGCACCTTCCCGTCCTCCCTGCGCTGAAAGGGAGCGCGCTCTCCGCGCCCCGGCTTTCCTCCTCCTTCACGCGCCGGGTGGGGATCCGAGGCTCGGAGCCAGTGGGAGCCTCTTCCTCATCCTCACAGCGGGGGGACTTTTGCGTCCCGCAGATAGAGAAACCGTGGCTCCAAGCCGGCTCCTGCCCGCGGCCCGGGGGTCCCCACCCATCCTCTCGCAATCCACCTCCACCCGGGTGGGGTGCAGCCCGCTTCACCTGGGAGTCGCCGATAGGAAGGAGGGAGGGAACCCAGGCGTGCCTCTGCCCTGCCTGTGGTCCGCCGCTGGTATCCTCTGTCCAGGGACCCCTGGCCGGACCTTCCCTTTTAACCCCGAGGAGTCCGGAAGCTTCTCCACCCTCCCCCACCCCTCCCTGAGGCTCCCTCCCTCCCTTTCCCTCTGTCTAATTATACAGTGGGTGAGGCTGGCACTCCTGGGTCCCAGATTCCTGCTCTGGGAGGGGCCCTGGAATACAGGCTTCTCCCAGTGCCCGAAACACCCCCTTTTCATCCCTTTTGGAGCTGGCTTCTGTGGGGATTCCCCAAGTCCCCGTTTCAAGCAGGCTTCCCGGGTTTGGGGAGAGGGTTCCACATCCCAAGGGAGGCTGGGGGTGGCGGGATGAGAGGTGAGTGAGAAAGGAAACCAACGGGAAGTGCTTACCTAGGGTGACAAAGTCAGAAGCCAGACTTCGAAGAGGAAGGAGGGAGGCCCAGAGATAAAGCAGATTGAGTAGGTGGGACAGAGACTGGTTTGGAAAGGGAGATTGTCACAAACAAAGGCTAAAAGAGCCAGAGAGAGAGAGGCACGGAGGCTGAGACACACAGAGACAAGGCAAGAGGGAAACCCACGCCTGCTCTGCGGCCGTGAGCGAGCTCTGTGTGTCTCAGTGACTAGCCTGTGTGTGTGTTAGGGCTGTGGCTCTGCCTCATGTCCATGTGTGGCCACCTCACACCCTCCCTGCCATCTGCATGCCACCAGGTGACACACAGGGCCCTGAATCACAGGAGGTCAAAGCTTCGAGGGGCATCAGCATCGCCTCGGCCAACTCCCTCATCTCAGGTGAGGAATGGGAGGTTCAGAGAGGGCAGTGACTCACGGGAGGTCACACAGCAAGTCCACTTAACAACCAGAAGGCCCTGGTTCCACTCTGGGCTCCTGTTGCTCATGCCAGCCCCTCTCCTTCAAGGTGAGAGACCATGCCAGGAGATCCTGAATTGGCTGGGTGCTGTAGCTCATGTCTGTAATCCCAGCACTTTGGGAGGCATGAGGTCAGGAGTTCGAGACCAGCCTGGCCAACATAGTGAAACCCTGTCTCTACTAAAAATACAGCAAGTACTCAAGCATGGCGGTGCAGGCCTATAATTGCAGCTACTAGGGAGGCTGAGGCAGGAAAATTGCTTGAACCTGGGAGGCAGAAGTTGCAGTCAGCCAAGATCGCACCATGGCACTCCAACCTCGGTGAAAGAGCAAGACTCCACCTCAAAAAAAAAAAAAAAAGAGAGAGAGAGAGAAGGCCCTGAGTTCTGGATTTTCTGTTGGACGTCCTCTTCATAGGTTGTGTGACTCACTGCTGGCCATCTGAACTTTCTGAGGTGTTGTTTTATATGCACCAGCTAATCCTCCCACTGCCAGTCACACGTGGCCGTCCAGTCTTGGATATGTCACAAGTAAGATGAAGGAGTTACATCTCTGGCTTTACATAGATATATATATATATTTTGATGGAGTCCCGCCCTGTTGCCCAGGCTGGAGTGCAGTGGCGTGATCTTGGCTCACTGCAACCTCCACCTCCCAGGTTCAAGTGAGTCTCCTGCCTCAGCCTCCTGAGTAGCCGGGATTACAGGTGCCCGCCACCACATCCAGCTAATTTTTTGTATTTTTAGTAGAGACGGGGGTTTCATTATGTTGGCAAAGCTGGTCTCAAACTCCTGACCTGTGATCCGCCTGCCTCAACCTCTCAAATTGCTGCAATTACAGGCGTGAGCCACCACACCTGGCTGGCTTTATGTAATTTTAATTGTAAGAGCCACGTGTGGTTAGTGGCTACCTACCATGTTGGCCAGCAGAGGTCTCCACCACCTAATTATGTATCAAGGAAGCTGGAAAAAAACAATGATGAGCTCCTTTTGTTAAGTCTTAGAACGTGCAGGCTGACTGACTTCTTTACTTACTGTGTTATACTTTTGCATACGCAGTTTTACAGATAAGGAGACAAACAGCCTTCCTCGAGGCATCTCACTTGGTAGTTAAGAGACCACCTTGCTTCAGATCCTTGCTCTCCTCACCTCGTGACCGTGAGTAACTGACTTCGTTTTTCTGTGTCTCAGTTTCTTCACCTATAAAATAGGTAGGATAACAGTGCCGACCTCAGAGGGTTTTATGAGGATTAAATTAGCTGATACATTTAAAAGCACTTGGAGGCCAGGCACAGTGGCTCCGGCCTGTAATGCCAGCACTTTTGGAGGCTGAGAACAGACTGCTTGAGCCCAGGAGTTTGAGACTAGCCTGGGCAACACAGTGAGACTCCATCTCGACAAAAAATACAAAACTTAGCTGGGCTTTGTGGCATGTGCCTGTAGTCCCAGCTAGTCTGAAGCAAAACAATCACTTAAGCCCCAGAAATTGAGGTTGTCTCGAGCTATGATTGTGTTACTGCACTCCAGCCTGGGCAGTGGAGCAAGACTCTCATAAATAGATTAATTAATTTAATTAAATTAATAAAGAAAAGCCAGTCAGGCATAGTGGCTCACGCCTGTAATCCTAGCATTTTGGGAGGCTGAGGCGGGCAGATCACCTGAGGTCAGGAGTTTGAGACCAGCGTGGCCAACATAATGAAGCCCCGTCTCTACTAAAAGTACAAAAATTAGCCAGGTGTGGTGGCTCATGCCTGTAATCCCAGCTACTCAGGAGGCTGAGGCAGGAGAATTGCTTGAACCCAGGAGGCAGAGGTTGAAGTGAGATAGTGCCACTGCATTCCAGCCTGTGCGACAGAACGAGACTATCTAAAATAAAATAAAAGCCCTTGGATTGGGGTCTAGCACATAAGCACTCCGTAGATTCACTCATTTAGGGATGTTTATTGAAACCTCGATTTATGCCAGGAGCTGTCTTCAGGACTGGGGACACAATAGCGAACAAACCAGCTGTTATCATTCCCAGAGTCACAATAGTTCACGGCAGAATTTGAATCCAGGTCTCACTGATCTCAAACCCCAGGCTGATTATTCAGTGACAGCATCTCCTGTAGTACAGGAGGCCCAGAGAGTGTTCACAGAGGGTCTTGGCTTAGGGCTTCTTAGTAGCAGAGAGAACAGGAACCAATCACCAAGCAGACATGGCGGATGCTGGGCCGTGGTGCGTGGGTCCAGTCTAATTGTTGTTCATTGTCTCCTGGATCCAGTCCACATATTTGCAGACTTTGGTGTAGACACCAGGCTTTCGAGTGATCGCACACGGATCCTGGCCCCAGGAGATAATGCCTTGAAGAGAGTGGTTACAGACCAGAGGGCCCCCGGAGTCACCCTGCGCGTGGGGAGAGAGAACATCGGTCAGAGAAAGCGTCGGGCGTGGTGTTAGCCAGGGAGGAGGTGGTGATGGTGCTGGGAGTGGGGTTGAGACTGAGGATGGGGAGGCACCGGGGTTGGTGATAGGTGGAGGGATAAGGCTGGGATTATGGGTGGGATAAACAATGGGGTTAGGCTCAAAAGAGAATTTGGGGATGTTGGAGCTGGAAATGGGATGGAAACAGGGATGGAGCTGAAGTTTGCACTGAGTCAGAAATGGGAACCGGGAGAGAGATGGATTGGGAGTCGCAGGGGAGGTGGGCTGAGGTCGGGATGAGATTGTGGATGTCGGTGAATATGTACTTGAAGTTGGGGATGGGGGTGGGGATGTGGTTGGAGACCCAGGCCCTGCCCGCTGACCTGGCAGGAGTCCTTGCCCCCTTTCTGAACGCTGGCACACACCATGGTGTCTGTGATGTTGTTGGGGTAGGCGTGCTCACACTCTTGGTGCTCAATGATGGTGATGTTGGCGCATCGCAAGCTGTGGGGCAGGCGCACTGTGGAAACAGCGTGAGGGGCTGCGGGATGACAATGTGAGGACCCCTGCCACCTCCCCTAATGCAGCGCTTGCTGTGACCCAGGCCCTGGAAGAATCCCTGTCCTTAGACGCAGCCAACTCACCTCTCTGCTTGTAGCAACAGCAGTGCTAACCAGACAGAGCCTCACTCAGCTGCCCAGGCTGGAGTGCAGTGGCATGATCTCCACTCACTCACCTCCGCCTCCCAGGTTTAGGCGATTCTCCTGTCTCAACCTCCCGAGTAGCTGGGATTACAGGTGCGCACCACCACATCCGGCTAATTTTTGTATTTTTCGTAGAGACGGAGTTTCCCCATGTTGGGCAGGCTGGTCTCTAACTCCTGACTTCAGGGGATCCACCCCCCTCAGCCCCCCAAAGTGCTGAGATTACAGGCATGAGCCACGGAGCCCGGCCTGCTATCCAGTACATTATTTATACCAGCTGCTGCTTGATATACATTATCTCTAATCCAATCCTGGCAGGTGGGTATAATTATTCTCATTTTATAGAGGAGAAAATCAAGATTCAGAGAGGTGAAGTGGCTTGCCTAAGTTCCTACAACCGGGCGGTTGTGGATGTATGACCGCACATCCATCTGACTCCAAGGCCCCAACTTTTGTCTCCACCCTCCCCCGTCCTGACGTTTTCCACGCATCCCCTCAACTTATCCCACAATCACCACTTTGAACCACATCTCTGGTCCCCTGACCCCTTCCACAATCAAGACCACCCCTTCCCCACCACCCCGGGCCGGGTTCCCCTCTGGAACTCCTACACTGGGGGCTGGATGTGCTGCCCCAGCCGGAAATGAGGCAGCTGGTGCCAGCGGTGACACAGCTTGAGGAGAGGGTGAGGGGTCGCACAGCCCAGGTGATGGAGGCTGGCGATGCCATCTTCACCAGCATGATGTCATTGCGGTGGTCTTTGTTGGGGAGGCTGTTGTTGAAGCCAGGGTGGGGGAAGGACTCGGTGGCTGTCCGCGTCTGCTCACAGCCTTCCCGCCTCTGGAGGTTGTGCTCCCCCAGGTGAACTATGTAGCGGCTGAGGTGGGAGAGACCGTGGTTGGAGGATGAAAGGTGGGAAAAGACACGAGGTGGGGGGAGGCATGGGCGGGAGAGGTGAGTGACACCTTTGAGGGTGAAGAGACATCGCTCTACTTCCAGCCTCTTCCATGTCCCCCAGCCACAGCCCCACCCCAACCCCATTCATCTCCCCACCTTCAATCCCAGCTTGAGCCCATCAACCTTGCTGACAGTGCCCGTCCAGTCTCTGATCCCCTTCCCACACCCCTCTCCCCAGCTCCTCTCCATCCATCTCTGCATTCCCAGGCCCCTCCCGGCCCCGCCCCAGCCCCCGCACCCACGGCTTGCGGCAGTGGGCTGCTGTCAGGAGCCATCTGGGGGCGATGAGGGTTGCCCCACAGAGCAGCCGCGTCTTCTCAAACAGGGCTGCCTGCCAGGGCTGGGAGTGAGGCTTGCACTCAAACCCCTTGATGATCCTGGTCTCTCCCGCTACGAGTCCTGGAGAGGTGAGAGCATACGGAGGCGCTCAGAAAGGAGAGGTGGACTCCCAGAAATGGGGGTGGGGAGGAGAGAAGGAGGAGGGAGGTCTGGGCCCTTGCCTGGTGTCCCTCTGGTTTGCACGCTGGATGCTGGGGCGGGGTGTTAGAGGGCAAAAATACTTCCATAGGGCCGGGCGCAGTGGCCCACACGGGTAAACCCAGCACTTTGGGAGGCTAAGGTGAGAGGATTGCTTGAGCCCAGGAGTTCAAGACCAGCCTGGGCAAACATGGTGAGATCCCCATCTCTACAAAAAATTAAACAATTAGCTTAGCTTGGCGGCAGGCGCCTGTGGTCCCAGCTACCTGGGAGGCTGAAATGACTTAAGGATTCCTTAAGCCTGTGATGGCACCACTGCCCTCCAGTCTGGACACAGAGTGAGACCTTGTCTCTGGAAAACAACAACAAAAGCCAACTTCCAGACTGCGTGGTTGGTCGTCCCTGTCCCGTTCACTGTGAGTGACACTCCCCGACCCTCCCCTGCGACCCCCTAGGATCCTCTTGGCTTCTCCTCTTTTGGCATTTAAAGGGATGGTCTGAAAGGCGTGCAAGCCCTCATGGCAGCCGCTCCCAGTTCAGAGGCCGTGTGGCTTGTTCTGTGATTTGGAATTGGCCCATCACGGTCCAGACACAGAGGGTTATGAGATCCCAGAGACTCAAGAGGGAGGCTCCTGCCCTGCCCCATTCCCTGCCGTACCTGTCACCAGAGCAAGCATGATTAACTGCAGAATCCTCATGGCCTGGAGTGGGGAGGGGCGGGCCCCAGGTTCCTCTGGGAACAAGGAGGAACATGGCCGCATCACTTGACTTGACGGGGAAGTCGGGGGCTGGCTCCTGCCCGCTCCTTTCTCCCGCACCTGCTCCTGCACCCCAGTTGGGAGAAACAAGGTTGGGGAAACTCCCTGTTTCTCACAGCACTCAGACATCCAGACACTTAAAATATATCTCAGGTGTCAAGGGTGGCCTTGGAGGGGGCCTGGTCACAGCTCGAAGCTGCCAGGGGATGTGGAGGTTGTTGGGAGGGGCTTTGACCCGGCTCGCCCTGGGCTGGCCCCATTCAAGTCAGCCATGGGACCTTCTTGGTGCGTTTCAGAGGCTGTTTCCCTTCTTGCCTTTAGAGCTGGCCAGGCCCCAGCAGCTTGGGCTGGAAGGACAAGGGGAACCAGACCCCGTTCTGTAGCCACCCCTTTTTCATGTCTTCGTGGCAGGGGGATATAGAGCCTTTGAGGTCTGCTGGTGGTGGTGGGGGGGTGCGGGTAGGAAACGCAGCCCCAGACAATGTCTGGGCCTCCCATCACCCAACTTGCTGAACCCCTGCCCCTTCGAAGGACAGCCAAGCCGAGCTGGGCGGGGCTGGTCGAGGGGAGGGCCAGTGCCCTCAGCTGCCCTGTCCAGCGGGGGTGAGAGCAGAGGGCCGGCTCAGCAGCTGAAGCCATGGAGATCAGAGGTAACCGAGGCTGGAGCCAGCCATTGAAGGTGAGAGGCACAGAGAGAGGCTAGGAACCCCCACCCAAGCAGAGAAGGACAGAGCAGAGGGAGAAATGGGTGCCCGAGGGGGACAGGTGTCCTTCGGGAGGGCTGACACCTGGAGTGGGGGCCTTCCCTCTCCTCCTGGACTCACGGGATCTGGGGCTGGGGCTCTGGGGGCCCGGTGGTGGCCGCGGCGGCTGCAGCAGGTAAGTTGAGTTGGAGTGCCAGGTGCCAGGCACCAGGCAGGCGGGCAGGCGGGGGGTGGCCCCGGGCGGGCCCAGGATGACTGGCCTCCAAGCCCTGCCTTAATGCCCTGGGGCGGGGTGTGTGTGGGGGCCCTCCTGCCTGCCTGCCTGTGCCACCTCTCCAAGCCCCTCTTCTCCCTGCGTCTCGGCATCCCTCTGTCTGTCTGCCTGCCTGAAGCCTTCCGTTCCCTGCGCCGAGTCTCTGAATCTGCCTCTCGCCCCATGGGTCATTCCCTGTCATTTGGTAATTCTGACTTTGTGTGCATGTGTGATTTTTCTCTTTCTGTCTCTACGTGTCTGTCTGCCGTTCTCTGTCCATGTCCCTGTCTTTACCTCCACACTTCTCTCTCCATCTGGCTCTGGGTGGCCCTTTCTCTAATTCCTTCTATCTCTGTGTCTCAGTCAGTCTCTGACTGTATCTCTGTCTTGCAGTGTCTCAAAATCTCTCTCCCTCCATCTAAGCTCCGTCTCTCTCTTTCCTTCTGTCCCAGCCACTCCCTCTCCACAGACTCAGCCCAGGTGGGCCCCTGGCCTCCTCTGGGCCGTTTCCTTCTCCTTTGCAAGGCAAGAGTGGGGGTGCTGGGGTGTCACAGAGGTGGGGCTGCTGCCAGGCACAGGGGCAGGACCGAGGAGGGTGGGGGAGGCAGGTCAGGGCCTGTGGAAGCCGAGTCCAGGAAAGGGAACAGAGTCCTCGGCTGCGCCCCACCCCAGGGCTCCTCTGGGGCCTCGCTTCTCGGCTGGCCAGCTGACCGTTCCCCTGCCCCCTTCTCCCTGCCTCCCAGGCAGTCCAAGTCTGGCTGTTCACTTACTGGCTGCTGCGAGACCTCTGCCTGACGACTTCCGGTCCTGCAGCCACCTCAACCTCTGCATCTGCAAAAACCCGACGCGGACTCCTGCTTCTCCCAGCTCGTCTGTTTTCACCCAGGTCCCTTCCCTTGGCTTTCCTCCCCTCTCTCCCCTAACCAGGTATGGAGCAAGTCAGGGGAGGGCCTAGATTCTGACAGCAGCCAGCCCTGGCCTCAAACCTAGGTGCTTCCCCTTCCTACCACTATGACTACCCTTATGACGTGGGGACAAGGGACTCCACCCCTGCGAGGCTCAGTTTCTTCATCTGAGAGATGGGGGTGACAGACCTGTGCAAGATTGCTGGGGAGGTTGGGATCAGGCCTCCAGGAGGGTCCATTTGGAAAGAGCAGACTGCAGGGGGCCTCGGCAAATGCACCTCTGCTGTTAGGATTGCCTGTCCCTCCCTCCCTCCCTCCTCCAGGTCCCCTTCAGTGCATTTGGGGAGATGTTCTCTCCTCACCTCTTGAGTCCCAGTGGAGACAGAATCCAAGGGGTGGGCAGGAGAATTTTAAGATGTAGGCTGAGCGCTCTTGCTTTCCAAGGCTGCACCCCACCCTTCATCATCGCATATATATTAGAACAAAGCCACATCCCACATTAAAGATCCAATGTGTACTTGATTACAAGGAAGGAAACTGCCTTTGGCTGTTGGATAGAAAGCTACGTTTTAAGGATGTTGAATTAAATGGTCCTGAACGTTGATTTGGCAGCTTTCCTCTGGTATTTTGGAGCGAAGGACTTTCTTTTTTTTTCCCCTTGGGTTGTTTGTGGACCCTTGAAAAGCTTATAAGCTCTGGGCACTGTTTCTATCATGCCGGATGAAAAAACATGGCTCTTATTTATATGGTTGGGTTTTTGTTTTGAGATGGGGTTTCACTTTATTGCCCTAGCTGGGGTGCAGTGGGCGATCTCAGCTTCTTGCAGCCTCTTCCTCCCTGGCTTGAGTGATCTTCCTGCCTCAGCCTCCCAAGTAGTTGGGACTACAGGCACGTGCCACCACACCCAGCTAATTTTTTTGTATTTTTATAGTGACAGGTTTCACTGTGTTGCCCAGGCTGATCTTGAACTCCTGAGCTCAAGCAATCTCCCACCTCAGCCCCTCGGCCTCCCAAAGAGCTGGGCTTACAGGCATGAGCTACCGCACCTGGCCTGTATTATTACAAGTAACTTTTTCTACTCCATTTCTAAGTGACGACTCAGGGAAGACCCTCATGCTATTTGAGCTCTTTTTCTTTTTTCTTTCTTTTTTTGAGATGAAGTCTCGCTCTGTCACCCAGGCTGGAGAATGATGGTGTGATCTCGGCTCACTGCAGCCTCTGCCTCCCTAGTTCAAGCGATTCTCCTGTCTCAGCCTCCTGAGTAGCTGGGATTACAGAAATGCACTACCATGCCTGGCTAATTTTTGTATTTTTAGTAGAGATGGGGTTTCACCATGTTGGCCAGGCTGGTCTCAAACTCCTGATCTCGGGTGATCCACCCACCTTGGCCTCCCAAAGTGCTGGGATTACAGGCATGAACCACCGTGCCCAGCTAATTTTCTATTTTAATTTTTATATTTTTGTAGAGATGGGGTTTCACCATGTTGGCCAGGCTAGTCTCGAACTCCTGACCTCAAGTGATCCACCTGCCTTGGTCTCCCAAAGCGTTGGGATTACAGGCGTGAGCCACTGCGCCTGGCCTTATTTGAGCTCTGTTTCTACACCTATGAGATAAGGAAACCTTTGAGTCCTTCTTCTAGTCTCGACTTCCATGGGACATCAAATGGACAGACATGGCCTCTCCTTCATTTGTATTTATTCCAGACCATCGCGCCCTTCTCTCACCCCACTCATGGGTCTTAGAAGGGCTGGTAGGAGTTAAAGTTCCAGGAAGTTCCCCAGGCCAACAAGAGTGGAGCTGGGGGAAGTGATGGAGGAGGTATTGGTGCTCTGAGGGTTGGAGTGGCACCCAAGCTAAGGGGTGGAAGTGGAGGATGCAGGTCAGTTGTTCCTCATGATCATCCGGATCCAGTCCACATACTTGCACACATAGGTGTAGACTCCAGGGATGCCATCTTGTCCACAAGGCCCCACAGACCCCCAGGACACCAGACCCTGAAGGACTCCGCCACACACCAGGGGGCCCCCAGAGTCCCCCTGGAAGGGAAGAGGAGAAGTGCTGTCTGAACAAGGGAGACATCTTATTCCTGTTTTCCTCCCCAACCCTCCAACCCAGTCCTGGGCCTTGGGGAGGGCTCCAAGCCTGGTCATCAGACAAAAGAGTACAATCACTTTCCCAGAGAACAATGGCAATAGCCAATAGAGTAGAGCCACTGTCTCTAGGGGTCAATCCCAGGGAAGAAGGGTGGAGCTCCGTAAAGAACAGAAGTTCTCCCAAGGACAATGACTGGGCCCCTGACCAATGAGGAGAGAGAGCACATTCATCAATGACCAATCCCAGGGGAGGATGTCAGGACTCCATGAAGAGTAGAGCATTTTCTCAAGGATAACGACTGGGGCCCTGACCAATGAGGAGAGAGAACACTTCACCAATGACCAATCCCAGGGGAGGAGGGTGGGACTCCATAAACAGTAGAGATTCTCTCAATGTGGACAATGGCTGGGGTTCTGACCAATGAGGACAGAGAGCACTGTCACCGGTGACCAATCCCAGAGAAGGTGGGCAGGACTCCACAAAGAGCACAGAGTTCTCTCAAGGACAATGGCTGGGTCCCTGGCCAATGAGGAGAGAGAGCACCATCTTCCAGTCTCTCTCAGTCTGGGACAGCACCAACTGGAGGATGGTATGGGAAAGACTTAGAGCCCCAGAAACAGCTGGTTCCCTGTCTGGGCCCCCAGTCCTCTCTGTCTCTTTCACTGCCTCTCTCTGTGCCTCCTGCCCCTTCTTTCCTTCTCTGTTCCCTTTCTCCCTCTTCTCTCCTTGACCCTGCCCCTCTGCCATTCCCTCCCTGGTCTTCCCTCCTATTCCCTGTCTCTCCCTTCCTTATCCTGGGACTTCTCTCCATATATTTTTTTTTTCCCCCGAGACAGACTCTGTTGTCAGGCTGGAGTGCAGAGGCGATCTCAGCTCACTGCAACCTCCACCTCCCAGGTTCAAGCGATCCTCCTGCCTCAGCCTCCCAAGTAGCTGAGACCACAGGCATGCACCACCAAGCCTGGCTAATTTTGGCATTTTTAGTGTATTCAGGGTTTCACCATGTTGGCCAGGCTGGTCTTGAACTCCTGACCTCAAGTGATCCACCCACCTCAGCCTGGCAAAGTGCTGGGATTATAGGCATGAGCCACCGCACCTGGCATCTCTCCTCCTATTTGACCCCATCCTCTCCAGCATCCCCTTTCCCTGATTCATCCTCCATCACTTCCCCTCCTGCTTCCAGCCTCTCCCCTTCCCTTCCTGTCCTGGTGACCACACACACTACCTGCACTGGCTCACCTGACAGGCGTCCTGCCCCTTCACACCACCTGCACACACCATGTTGCTCGTGATTCTCCCGGGGTACACGTCACTGCAGGTGCCATGGGAGACGATGGAGAGGTTGAGGCACTGAAGCACATCCGGGAATGGGTCTGGAGAGGGAACATCGTGCTTCAGGGTTCTCTACAGCTCCCCACTTTGAGGTCATGTCCCTCCCCGCAGATGTGGCCCATCCAAGTCAATACCGCTGCCCCCGACAACCTGTACTACAATCCTGAAACCCCTAATTATATATTCATGACTTAATTTCATATGACTCATGACCGCAGATGATTGACAGTCTCTTTGACCTTTGACATTTGACTTTGAGTGGCATAACTCAAGACCCTCCTTGTCTCTCCAGCCTCAGAGACAACAAATCCAGACGTGACCCTCTTCAATGACAGATACTGTGACCTTTGACCTTCTATCTTATTACCTTATGATCCCAGCTTGGTCTCATATCTTCTGTCTCCTGACCCCATGTCCCTGTGTTCACTTTAACCTCCAACCTCAGCTCTGCATCTTCCAAACCTCACTGCTTCCAACTTCAAAGTGTCCTCTGGTCCCAGTTTATTCAACCCCAGGCTCTGTGACCCCAAACCTTGGCCCCCACACCCCAGATGCTATGATCTTCAATCTCAGATACGTGATTTCTGATAGAATTCCAATTTCCATCCTCAGATTCTGACCAGATTGTACAACCTCTGGATCCCATGACCTTAATGATACAGTGACCTCTGACCCCGGAGACCATGACCCACAATGCCCAGATCCTATTTCTATATAAATATGCCTTTTGCTCCCGTATGAGGACCTCTGACACACTCTGACCTCTGATCCCTGACTTCATACACAGTCCCTTAACTCCTTTGATTCCCAAGACCCCAGTCCACCACGATCTCTGCTCCGGAACCGGGACCCTGATGTTCCAGCCCACACCCTGGCCCTTTACCCACCCTTCCTCTCAGGTGTCATGATTCGACCTCTCACCCTGCATCCCAGACTTGTACCTACCCTGACCCCTGACCCCTGACCCCTGACCCCTTACTCCACGGGTGGTTGGTGATGCCCCAGCCTGATACGTGGCACTTGGTGCCGGCGGTTGCACAGTCACTGGGCAGGGGCAGAGGTTGAACACTGCTGGTTATGCGGGCGGGCAGGCCCAACCGCAAAAGCCGGAGGTCGTGCTCGTGGTTCCTCGAGGCTCCCTGGTAGCCGGGGTAGGTCACGGAGAAGCCGCTGTGCCGGATCTGCTCAGTCCAGTCGAGTTTGCTGAGGCTGTGTTCCCCCAGGCGCACCCAGTACCTGCCGGGTGGCGGCAGCTCAGCGGGTGGCAAGCGGGCAGCCCCCACCTCACACCCCACCATGGACACGCCCAGATCCTCCTGCCGCTCCCTGCTGCTCTCCCTCTCACTGTCCTCTCACCCGTGCCTCTCATTCTCCAAGTCTCCCTTGCAGGCTCTCATTCCTGACCTCTGTCACCCTCGTTCCATCTTGGGTGTTCACTCTGTTTCTCCTCCCATGCCCTGCAACTGTGTGTCTCTCTCTCTCTCTCTTTTTTTTCTGAGATGGACTCTTGCTCTGTTGTCCAGTCTGGAGTGCACTGGCACAATCTTGGCTCACTGCAGCCTCCACCTCCTGGGTTCAAGCAATTCCCCTGCCTCAGCCTCCCGAGTAGCTGGGATTATGGGCGCGTGCCACCACACC